TTGGTAGATCAAACTGCCAAAATTTGTAAGCGTAATTACAGAAAAGCAGGAAATACTTACAAACGGGTTCCATGCTACACGGAGACGACCTACAGCCAGAAAATTCGCAGTGGCAGTTTGTACTGAAATTTAGCCCGTGGAGTGCGTCCGAGTATAAGAGGAGTAAAAATATTGGACAAACATTATGAAGTTGCTGCCTGAAAGCTGAAAATGAATGTACCAGTTAAGTTGCTGCTATTGTTCCCTAGGATAAGGAAGTCTTGAAGATCACAACCGTATTGAAGTAATATCTAAACTGATTAACTGAAACGCTGGTTCAGATTAAACCCTGGCGGCATAAATGCGGTGTAAAGAAAGAAAAACCTATTTCCCACTTTACATAAGCAGTTCTACTACACCGCCCCTTTGCTTCTACAGGCATAGGAGGACCATTTAAGCAGGCTTCGGCTCCATGGCATTTAAGCGACTGAAATGTATAAAATGTAGGACAGCGTCTCAAACTGGAGTTGAATAAAAATATATTCAACCAAGATTGCCACGATCCACTGGAGGACGATGCAAAATATAACCCTGATGTTCTTAGGGACTTTTCCATACCGCCGCTGAATATATAACATTTTTCTTTCTTTACACTGTGCATTTACGCCGTTTCAATCCGGAGTCATTACTTTTACTATGATATATTCCGCGGCAATATCGATAGATGGCCAGAACATCGAGATTCCATTTTTTCACTCTCTCCTACAAATGGTGGAAATGTTCTTTGTTTGAACATACTCTTATTCAACCAATCTTCGAGATGCGGCCCTGCGTCCTACGTATTGCAGGCGCTGAAATACCATGTAGCCTGTTTAAATGGACGCCATAGGCGTATAGAAGCAAGGGGACGATGCAGAAGAGTTGCTGGTGTAAAGTGAGAAATAGATTTTTCTTTCTTTACACTGTGCATTTACGCCGTTTCAATCCGGTATCAGTATTTTTAATGTGAAATTTACCTGATGTTGCTAGAGTGAAGCCAGCCGAGTAAGAGGCAGCAAATCGTTGACCCACGAACAACGGGGATAGCATGTTCTTCTGGTGTGATGGTACCAG